TAGCTACTCTGGCTGTCCCGTTTCTGTGTCTCTGCGAGCCCCAGGCCGTGGCTTTGTCCACCTAGCTCTGTGGCCTGTGAACTTGTGCGGTGGCCCTCCCACCCCGCACCAGAGTCCCCCGCGTCCTTACACCCCAGCTTGGGACCAGCATTCAAGCCAAGGTGCAGCCCTTACCACACTGGCAGAAAGGGGTGCCACGGACCACTGAGTCACTTGCTTGGTAAGGAGGCAGGGTGGGGTGGGGTAGCAAGCAGCCTGCTGAAGGGGTGCCGTGGGGACACTTTCAGAACCAGCACCTCCCTCCACCGAAACTCATCCGCGACAGCCTTTCGTCTCGGAGCGCCCGGCCCCTTGCACGTCCCAGCCTGAGCTCCACCTCCCAGCCGCGTCTGGCCGGCGCTCTCTCAGCGACTGTCGAGGGTGCCTCCGGTCCGGGCACTGGATTAGCAGTAGAGCCCTGTAGTGACGCCGGAGATTCCGAAGTTCACTTGTTTTGCAGTTCAGTCCTAACCAAATAATCCCTTCTCAAAATGGCTCCTGAGGCCTGGGGAGATAGCTCGGCGGTCTAAGCCCCTGCCCTGCAAGCGCAAGGGCCCGGGTTCAATCCCTGGGCGTGCCGTGCTGGCCACCGATACCAGGTATGGCAGCACACGCCTGTAATCCTGGCACTGGGGAGGCTGAGACAGGAGGATGAATTAGGAGTTTGAGCTGCATAGACACCATGTTACATTATTAAATAAATAAATAAAATAAATAAAAAAAGAACAACAAAGAAACTCTCTCACTCCCATCAATAAGAATGGCTCCCATCAGGGGCTGGTCTGATACTCAGCAGATTAAAGCTCCTGCTTAGGCAGACGCATGGGTCAGAGGGCAATTAATTAATCCCAGTGTTTAGCAAGCTGAAAACAGAAGAATTACTACGAGTCTGATCCTTATAGTGAGACCCTGTAGATCCTGCAGACCCCATGCTAGAAAATTTAGCCAGAGCAATTAGACAAGAGAGTTAACTTAAAAGGAAAATGAAAAATTGAAAAGGAATTAGCTAAATTTCACAGATGAAATGATACTCTACCCCAAAAGCTCCACCAATTTAATAAGCAAATTCCATGTCATAACCAGATACCAAGTCAGCACTCAAAAATCAATAGCATTCCTATACACAAACAGCAAATTCACTCACAGAGAAATTAGGGAAACCATACCCTTCACAATAGTTTCTAAAAAGTGAAATACTTAGGAATCTAACAAAGGAGGTGAAACAACTATACATTGCAAATTACAGTGCTCCGAAGAAAGAGGTTGAAGAAGATTTTAGGAAATGGAATGATACTTCTTGCTCATGGATAGGAAGAGCCAACATTGTGAAAATGACTATCGTAGGGCTGGGCAGATGGCTCAATAGAATAAGCACATGCCTGGCAAACGCAAGGGCCTGAGTTCAAGTCCCAGTTCCGCCAAAAAAAAAAAAGAAAGAAAGAAAGAAAAAAAAAAAAAAAAAAAGAAAGAAAGAAAGAAAGAAAATGACCATAGACCATACTCCCAAAACCTTTATATAGACTTAATGCTATTTCAATCAAAACACCATTAATATATCTCACAGATGTAGAAAAAAAAATTCCTAAAATTCAGAAATCAGAAGAGGCCTACAGTAGCAAAGGCAATTCTGGGCAACAAAGGAAAGGCAGGAGGCATCACAATATGTGACTCGAAATTATACTGCAGGGGCCGGGGAGATGGCTCAGTGGAATAAACGCTTCCCTGGCAAGAAATTACACTGCAAAGCTACTGTGATAAAATCAGCATGATGCTGGCAAAAAACCAAAACCAAACACAGACTTGAGGATCAATGGAGCAGATTAGAAGATGCAGACACAACTATAAATGCATTCAACCACCTTATTTATTTATTTTTTTGGTGGAACCGGGATTTGAACTCTGACCCTTGTGCTTACCAGGGAAGCACTTATTCTACTGAGCCATCTCCCTGGCCCCCCAACCACCTTATTTTTGACAGAGGAGCCAAAAAAGTTCATTGGAAGTAAAATAGCCTCTTTAATAAATGGTGCTGAAAAACTGGTTTTCCATGTGCCAAATACTAAAACTAGAGCCATGTCTGTCACCATGCACTAAAGTCAAACTAAAGTCAAATATCTAAACATAAAACAGGAACACTAAATCTACTGGAAAATCTCCTGTAAGAGAAAGTAGAAAGGAATCTTGAAGACATACATGTAGGCAGAGAGTTCATGAACAAAACCCAAACTGCACAGGAAATACTTCAAAGAATCAGTAATTGGGATCTCATCTTATTAAAAAGTTTTTGCACATCAAAAGAAATTACCAGCAGAGTGAAAAGAAAATCCATGAATTGGGAAAAAGTTTTAGCTAACTAAAACTTTTTAGCTAACTAAAACTCTTCCTCAGACAAAAGACTTCTATTTAGAACATAAAAAGAATTAAAAAAAAATCAGACCCCCAACATTCAAAGATACAATCCAAAAATGGGCATCAGAGATGACTACACACTTCACAGATGAAGAAATACAAATGGCAAATAAACATATGAAAAGATGTCCAACATCATTGGTCGTTCCAACAATGCAAATTAAAACAACACTGCAATTCCATCTCACCCCAGAAGGAATGGCTGTCATCAGGAAGCCGGCCAATAACAAATGCTGGAGGGGCTGTGGGGAACATGGGACCCCTCCTCCACTGTGGGTGGGAGTGCAGTCTGGCGCGACCGCTGCGGAAATCAGTGTGGAGAGTCCTCAGCGCTCTGGGATTAGAGGGCCCATTTGTCGCAGCTATTGTCCTCCTGGGTATCTCTCCAGAAGAATTGAAGTCATCATACCACAGCAGTATATGTGCACCCATGTTTATAGCAGTGCAACTTGTCATAGCTGAATCTTGGAAACAACCCAAATGCCATCAGCTGATGAATGGATAAAAAAGATTTTTACACAACAGAGCATTACTCAGCTGTAAAGAAAGATAAACTCGAGCCTTTTATAGGTAAATGGACGCAACTAGAGACCATACTCATAAGTGAAATAGATCAGACGCGTATGTGCAAACATCATATTGTCTCTTTAGTGTAAGAAACTGAAAGAGTAAATAAGACCCAAAAGGTACAGTAGGTATTGTGAAAAGGAAAGACACTGCTCAAAAGGAAAGAACAGTGCAAGCTGCATAGAGACGCTGTACCAAATAAATACAGCAATAAAAGGGAAAGGGAGGGGCTGGGGAGATAGCTCAGTAGAATAAATGCTTGCCTGTCAAGCACAAGGGCCTGAGTTCAAGCCCTGGTTCCGCAAACAAAACAAAAACAAAAACAAAACAAAACAAAACAAAACAAAACAAAACACCCCAAAAAACCACATAACAGATTCTGACCAATTTAATCAATAGACCATGTTTACAGGAAGGCAGTGTGGTCAGCTGTGAAATGTGCAAGCAAAGCCCTGCAGCTAAACCCCGGGACGGGCCGTGGGAAGCTTCAGGGAGCGTACCTGGGTGCAAGGGTGGACGGGCAGCGTCTCTAGAGCCCCATGGCTGGGCCATTAGCTCCCAGGGTTTCCAGCGGAGTGTCTCATAGACCAGGCTGGGTCCTGTACGCCCTTCGGAGGACTTGTGGTATCCTCCACGAGGGCTTGTGAAGACTACACGCAAGGGGGCGAGGCAGTTCCCAGGCTTGAAGGTATAGTGAAAGAGTCATACAAAAGCAATAAACAAAAGCATGGTGGCACATGCTTATAATCCAGTACTGGGGAGGCTGAGGCAGGAGGATTGTTGCGAGCTCAAGACCAGCCTGGGCTACCCAGGAACTCGAGGCCAGCCTGAACTGCACAGCGAGACCCTATCTCAAAAGGACAAAAATTTTAAAAAGTGAATATATCTTTTTAGGGTACGTGTGGAGCATGATTTATGTCACTTAGAATGTGAATTTCTTTCTTTTTCTTTTTGCGGAACTGGGGATTGAACTCAGGCCCTTGTGCTTGCTAGGGAAGTGCTTATTCTACTGAGCTATCTCCCTGGCCTCAAGAATGAGGATTTCATTTTTTCAATTTCTAAGTAAGACCGCATGCATGAATGCAAGGAGAACGCAGGAGGAGGGCGGGGAAGCCTGCGGGGCCAGCCGTCGCCAGCTGCGTGCCCTTCCCAGCTTAGCCCTGCGCAGAGGAGCTTCACCAGGGAATCACACTCATGAGTCTTGGTGCGTGCCCGGCACAGAAGCCGGAGCCCCGGCAGGAGATGAACTGCGAGGGCAGGCGAGAGCAAGTCTGTGGAGCAGAAGTGCAGGAAGGGTGAGGAAGAGGCCTGTGGTCTGCAGAGGCAGGGGCTGGGGAGAACCCCTGAGTGGGCAGGTGCGGGTGGAAAGGCAGGCACATCTGCGCAAGCCCAGTTCTGTTTCCTTTCCTTCTTGCTCAATGCAAAACCTGACTTTCAGTGCATGTGTTTTGTAGCATGTGCAGTCTCTCGTAGGGCTGCTTGGGGTAAGGCTGTCTGCGGTGGCAGAGGGCAGAAGGCAGGGGACCCAGGGAGCAGCTGAGCAGGACAGGTGTGGGGCGTGAAAGTGGAGCTGGACTTGGCCACAGTGTGCAAATCCTTGGGAATGAACAGGCACTTGGTGGGCAGAATTGTACTTCCAGATGACGCAGGGAGAGCAGGGCATGGGAAGGGTTGTCCTTGGCGGAATTCTGGGCCACACTATGAGTAACAAAAGGTGGGGCTCCTACTCTGTGCATTTGGTAATACTGGGAGGTATACTTCAAAACCCTAAAACAAGTGGCTACTTTTTATGAACTTATTTATTTATTTATTTGGAGAACCGGGGATTGAACTCAGGCCCTTGTACTTGCCAGGCAAGTGCTTAGTCTACTGAGCTATCTCCCCAGCCCCTATGAACTTATTTTTATTTTACCATATAATGTCTTCCCTTGCTACAGGAAAATGCCTTCAACACAAGTAATTTCACCATGAAATAGAAGTTTTACTTATTTTTGTGTACATCATTTATTTACTGATGTCTATCAGCTGAATGTGGCTGCAAGACAGTTACCCGGCGGAAGACCAAGTCACGTCCTGCGGGAATTTGTCCTCAGAGGCAGGAAGCACCGTCCGAAGCTGCCGCAACCGAGGAAGAGTGAAGTAAGTGCTGAACGGAGCACAGGAAGGGTTTGTTCATTCAATCTGGGGGATGCTGACGTGGAACCCAATGGCTGAGTGAGCGGATATTCTTTCTGAAGTTTCTATCTCTTTCTTTCATTACTTCTCTTTCCTATTAAGAAAAAAAGGGCTGGTGAGATGGCTCAGTGGTCTAAAGCACTTACTTAGAAGAAGCTTAGCAAAGCACAGGGATCGCGGTTCAATCCCCCACCACCACATGCCAGCCAGCCCCGCCCCCTGGTGGGCTGAGCTGGACACACACACACACACAATAAATAAAATTAAAAAAAAAAAAGAAAAAAACATTGGGCATGGCATAAAAGGCATAAAAACCACCTTACGATCATAGAAACACAGGACACTTGCACATGATATACATGACCTACCATTTGCCCAGCCCAGATTTCTGAGCCCAGGACAAAGCTCCTGAAGACCCTCCTCCAGGGGCTAAGCTAGGATCTTGCACAAAGTGTGTTATGGAGGGTCAGATGTGTCTTCAGTTTCACTGCCTGTGCAGCCCTGAAGAAATGACCGTTCTGGTTTGCCTCTGTTAGCTTTAGGTTACTGGTCCACCAAATGAGGATAGTGTGGACGATAATGGCTTGCTGGATTGTTGTTAGGTTAAGTGAGTTAATTCTTGTGAAGTTCTTAACGCATTGCAAATACCTGGTATATTCTAGCTCTAAGGCTGTCTCTCTCTGTAATACTTAAGGATTTATACACCAGTCAGTTATTTTCCTCTCAAATTTAATCACATTTCTTCAGACCTTATTAAACCCTTTCGTATTTTTCTCAAGATTCTAAAGTAGTTATAGATGGAAGCTGGTGTGGTGGTGTGTGCCTGCAATCCCAGCAGTTGGGGGCTTGAGACAGGAAGATCACTCTGAGTTTGAGACCAGCCTGGGCTACAAAAGTGAGCCCAAGGCCAGCCCAAACCCAAAACTCAAACAGGCAAACAAGCAGACAAACTAGTTATAGAATGCCAGGGAGCAGCCGATGAGTTCCTTGCCTCTACAGAAGGCCAGGGCAGAATCTTCTGCTTTGACAGGGCTAACTCCCCCAACAACAGTGACTGTTATGTGAGTCTTGGGGAGCAGCAGCCCTTTATGCAGGTCTCTAGGGTCCGGTTACATAGAGTTTTCCAGAGTGTGTTGTCTATTCTGTGTGATTTCAGTGGCATTCCACAAACCTGGTTATCATTTTGGAAACACTGAATTAAACTGTGCTTGTTTAGCATTCCCCGATATCTTATGCAGCTGAAACGGAATAGAGTTTCTTGAAGTTATTTCTCCACAGCATGCTTTGGGGGAGATCATCTTGCAGGACTTGGGTTCTAGGAACATGGTTTGGGAAACACAGACTTACAGTAAATCATAAGTTTAGCTGATAGGTCAAATCCACAGGAATAAAATTTCCCAACAGACAGTGTCTGTTATGTGGAAACACTAATTTTTTTTGCCAAATTATTTTATATGATATAATCATTTGTTATGTGTATA